GGATTTACCCAGATACGTAACTCGCTATCCTCGCCTATTCAGAATTTCACAATTTCACAATACAGACCAAATGGGTAAGGCATTAGCAGGGATAACCTGCACCTTTGCAAAGCCACTGCGCAGGATGGCCTGTGCCAGATCGCCAATACGCCATTAAATACCCCGTACTCCATACATACTCCATACATATGCGGCCTTTGTATGTGACGTGACCTAGTACATGTCCCATGTAGGGGCCGAATCGGGGGTGACGAATGGACTAGTGGGTTCAATGATCCTTAGGGCTGCGCTGGTTAGTGGCATACGGAGTAGCCGCGAACACACTTCTTTGTTTATATATAGTCTTCTTACGGAAATAATATCAATAGCATTCGGAAACACGGAATAGATAAGTGTTTCAATACTTTGTATACGTTATAGTGCTGAGAAGGTGTTGGAAGATCGACCCTGGCTGTGCATTGTGGCGATGTGGGATGTTTTTGTTTTCCTTTGTGTCAATGCGAAAAGACCCACTCGATGTTGCTATATTGGACACTTAGTACAACATATTGAAATGCCAATAGGCATGGAGACAGTGGAGCGGATTCACGCTCCAGGTATGACATGCATGAATTCGAATGGAGACTGCTGAGCGCATTTCAATGTCAGACAGTTGACTGTTGTGCTTGTGTTGCTCGGCCCAAGACGTCGAAGTCAGTTGGGAAGTATATTGGCGTGTCTATAGTGTCTAAGTTGTATATACCTCGGCAGTGGCTACATACCTCGAAGTAATGCCTAGAAGCCGTATGTATAGCACTGCCTACCTAGATAAGTTCAAAGCTGACTGCATACAAAGCGTAAGGTACCTCGCGCTAGAAAATCAATCGATCTGATCTACCGGCCAAGTCTGCTCCTATCCAATCCGCTAGCAAAGAGCATCCATTCAATGCTCCCTCGTCATCGTGCTTGCAATAAATACCGCTAATGCACGTCTGAGCCAGCCCGGTCAATCACATCAGATCTAACCGCTCTCACGTTCTAGCAAGCAGACTAAAGTAGCTCCATAATTTTTTTTCTTTCTTTTTTTCTTTTTTTCCTTTTTGCGACATCGGCTGTTCTCCGGGCCAAATAATCTCTCCGATATCAATTTGTCAGGTCCAGCCTCTTTGTTTCTTATCGGGGAAAGCGGGTTATTCCGCCTGTCGGGTAATTCAATGATAAAGGAGGTATATTATGCATGTATTGAAAAGACCGACTCCAAGTACAAGGGTGTCTAGTCCACATCCTATCTTGCTACAACGTGCCATATAATGTTACATTTGATGTACATCAATCTACATCAGTGTACATCGGACCGGGTACCACGTAAACTCCGTACTAAATAATACAATAAACATTCTTCATGTCTGATTTTAGCGCTGGATAAACTCCAGTACTCGCCACAAATGCTTCTCATTTCCTTGATGAAAAAGCACTGTTCCTGGGTAGGTCTGAACACGCCGATGGAGCTGTACAATTGGCAGCTCTCATTCTGGATGATCCGACCTTATACCCACACTAAACTTTGATTATTCGCGCAGGGACTTCGGCCATCCAGTCAGATTGCAAGTTTGAGCGCCTGTCCATGGGCTGGGAAACCCTTTCCCGACTATTACTACTGCATAATAACTTTGCGATCTGCATCCGATGTAGTATTGATACTCCGTACGGAGTACTAGCCGGAGATATAACGCTAGCACGGAGCGCAATGTACAAGCGCAATGTACAAACTCGTCTTTGATAGCTGTAAGGCGTAATTTGTTATCACTAATATAGACAATAGTCATAATAATGATATCTGGAAATAATAATCCCGTATCAGCGTGTTTATCGGGCGTATGTTATTCAGGTACGGAGTATACGGCCGAGAACTGTACGAACAAGAATATGTAATTGCCGCTTGTATTAACTATTCTCCATGGGAGCTTGCGGGAGCTCCACTAGTCTCCGTATCCGCTATCCACTATACTGCTATGGATTATTATTGCATGGATGGCGATTGCATGTTTCAAATTAATGTGGTTGGCTAATTGATCGTGTGCGACAACGCGGCATAATTTTTGGTCGATTGCCGTTATTCAGGCCTTGGGGCCCTCTCCCGATGCCACCGGCGCTGATCATCCGTGATGTGGTGCTGTCACCCCACGTCCTTTTGCAGGTCGATCTGGAATGACAACGGAGAGTAGTTGGTTCGGTGCCTTTTTATTATGTATTTTTGGTTTGAACCAATCAAGATGGACATGAAAAGTTACAAATATAGTCGGTCCGGTTTGCATCTGTATTAACGGTTTCGTTGTGGACCTATAGTGACGCAGGTGAGCCAATTCAGAGCCGCAGGAGATTGAATGATGTCAAGTAGGAGGCAATTGATCAATATGGTATACCAGTATTCTTCTTCGGGCTAATCTGATTACATCGAGATTAACCGGGAAGGGAACCTACGATGCATACATGGACTGTTAAGGTCTAAGCGAGTGACGACAACTTGGTACAATATAGTGTATTCGTATTCTTCACAGATAATAAACGACACTCGGGTAGTGATACTAGTGATACCCGGTAAGAACAAAAGAAAAACAAAAAGGCACGGCGTAAAGTCCGATCAGGGGGGGGTCTAAACTCCGTCATCCCGCGTTGATGACAGCACTGGCCACCATCCCCCGTGATACGCAGGGCTAGGATGTGGGCGCTTCGGAGAATTTATGGGGATATTTTGATAGCCAGATATTGTCTGAGCCGGTGTTTCATCGTCTGTAATTTATTGTCTTGGTTATTACTACGTAAAGCATGACGGGGTGGAAAAGGTGTACGCATACACCTATCTTGATACTTAACATGCGTCGCATACATCGTACAGAGATCATCCGCGAAGCGCGGTTACGCAATAACGTTTGATGAACTCGGCGCCCGATGTATGGCCAGCGCTCATCCAGGGATGTCCCTGTTGGCTGGTATACAGTGTACTGTCTAGTGTAGTGCTCAAGTGTACAGTATCATTGCATGATTGGGGTCAGTGGCGTCTGCCCCTGAGTTGTTGGTGCCCAAGCTCATGACAAAGCCATGAATTCTTCAATGTGTTGGACCTGCATCAGGAGATTGGTCGGAGCTTGCGGGTGTCAGGGCAAGGCTGTTTCCTAGGCTTGAGTTTCGTCTATTTAGGTTAGATAGTATTTATGAACGAGCCTTGGATTGCGTAACATCGTATTGCTGTGTTCAACACCGGTGAACTGTGTTCGGGGTTGAGTGTTGTACGATGCTTCAAAGTCTTCAAGTGAGACATGTCTTTGCTAGAACCAAATCGCCTTGGTTCATTTCAGGCTTTGGGGACATACTCGGTGGGTATACTCGGTGGCTGTCGGAAATGTCGGATGTGTTGCTTATGGGGGTTTAATACGGCGATTATATTGATATGGCCAAAGTGTCGTTTTATCTGACCGTGTATGGACACCTACAGATTATTAGAAATGGGTCGGATGCCTGAGGTATGCCAATGCTCTTAAGGGAAACTCAAACCCTTGAGTTGCAGCTTATTTACTCATCCATCTGGCGGATTGGCCAGTGCTATCCCAACAGCCGGATCAACCCCAGCATCAACACAGCTTAGAGATAGCTCACTGCGTCAAAGCTGGGGAGGGTGGCTTATGGCACTGCTGTTTCATTTGTCGGTCGACCACCTTGACTCATCCCGGGTCACCTGCAGCTTCCTGAGACTCGCTCTAATGTGCTAGTTTGACTAGTGCATTGTCAAGTCCGGGGGATTCTGCAAAGGAGATGTCCGTGCGACCGACTTGCGAGTTTACCAATACTCCAGACATCGCGAGGTCCAGGAAAAAAAAAGAGAGACATCGGGAAAGTGGAAAAAGGGGCGTTTATTGCTGTGTGGCCAGTTTCCTCTTTGTCTGCATTCAAGTCAACATAGTATCGGAGGAATCCGAAGGCTGTATCAGCACCGAAATACTGGATCACCACCTGGACATAAACCCCAGATCACCGATCCGATGGTCGGCTGCATGCCCAATGGGCTAAAGTATCCATCCTTCGTTCCGTGCGACCCAAACTCAAAACAGCGTGGCGCAACGTGTGCAGCGAGTCCCGAGGTCCATACATCGACGGGATGGGGATTCTAGAAAACGCTCAAGGGGCAGATTCCGGGGAAAGCAAACTAGTCTGGGGGAGCCAAGAACTGAAAAAAAGGGAAAAAAATAGGTCATCTCCATATATCTCCCTCAAATTACATGCCCTCGCCACTTTACTCCGTAGACCATGTGCAATAAGGAACCGGAGGATATCCCTTGCCGGCACGTCCAATTGTAGAACAGCATGTTCTATTTCCTATGCTCTAAGGTTGGGAAAATCCCCCACACAAACCCTTTTTTTTGACTCTCTCCCCCACAAAAATGGCGCATGGCCTATTCTTTTGCGGATCTTTCCGCTTAATCATTCCCGGACACTCCGCCCCCGGAATTTGGCTTTCCTATATTAATGGCTTTGAAAAGGTGTAAAATGAAAAAAATAAAATAAAACATCACGAGGTCTTACATAGTACACATTATATCGTATATTACCATGATTATAAACGTGTATGGGCTTGTTATTCTCAGTAACTCTCGGGCCCACTCCGATACTTCCAGGGTTTGAGAATATGAAATACGGAGTACGGAGTCCTGGCAAATCATTTATTAAATTGATATCCACCTGAGCAACAATTTGGTTAGTGCAGCCGCGTATTCTTTACATACGAGGAGAGTATCTCAATATACACCCCCAGTTCAATCATAAGTTTATTCAATTCAATTAATGTAACCCTAAATCCCTGAATTCTTTTCTGAAACAAAAAAAAGCACATTCTTTAATTGCATTCCACAATAGTATCAAGTAGTCCTTGGATGTTTCAAAGGATAAAATACCACCTAAAATGACACAATACTAGTGAAATCGGGCGTTACGCCGCTAATCCTAAAGGGGCAACTGCGTGGAGACCAATGAGTTTCGTTGATAACCAGAGCCAGAGCCAGGAACTGGTGGGCGTCCAGTAAAGCGTGCGTGTCTATAAGATTCAGTCTACGCCGCATTCGGTATCACCCTAGTTAATCGTGGGGCCATCATTGGCAGACACGGTCAGCCCGTGTGTCTGGGATCCACCATCTGCGCTCTGTATCGGTACCGTCTGCTAGCTTGTCTGTCGCTCGTCTGCTGTCTGGTTGTCTGGGCCGGACATCGCCCTGGTTGGTAGTTGCCTCGTATGTACCTTCGGTGTATCTTTGTCCTCGGACCCTCTTATCATGGGTACCTCCACAGTACTTTCCACCTACTTTCCCGGTTCACTCTCTACCCGCCACTACTGCCACTACCAACGGTGTATGTAAGTACCCTGACCCAGGTACCTCGCTCTGCTGTAGAACGACTCAATACTCCAACCTTCGGAGGCAATTTCGAACTTCCCAACTACTTCACCTCTCCTACCATCCTCTTCCTTTCACCAACTTCGCTTCCCCAGTGTGGTTGTGGTTTCTCTTGCTTATCGACAATTGCCTATCTGTACTCCATCGGTTATCTCCGGCTTATCCAACTCTCTCCAACTTGCGAGATCAATTCTCTCAATGGATGCCCGAGTGTAAAGCATACAAAGCCACTTGCTCTAGCTCTGCTAGTCTGATGTGAGTGATCTGACCGTGCTATGTTTAAGCATCATCCATGTTAGTCCGGTTCGCTGATGTCTCCGACCCTCCAACAGACGTCAACACTAGGCTCCCATCCCCCCCCCCCCCCCCCCCCCCAAATACCGGTCTCAAGTCCCCATATCCTGCGCTTAATCGAAACCCATTCAACCCGTCTTTCCAGATCTTTCCAGACACACAGCGAATCCTTCGATAGACCGACTGTAAATTCGTTTCTCTTATTGGTGGGTCCCGTTCATCTATCTTACGGCAAGGTTCCTGATAGACTGCCTCGGTACCTTGGGTCGTGATAGCACCCTCTACGCATCATATGAGACACATGCTGACTTGATGTCATTTGGATGGAACAGTCATTGATGCGGCACATTGTACAAATTTGAAAGCTCAAATATCGTGCAGACGCGATCTTCAGTCAATCATAAAGATTGACACAACCTCTCTTCCTCAGCAATTTCCCGCACGTCGCAAACTTCCTCCTACCTCCGAGACCAGAAGTCAACACTCTGGTCTGTGAGGAGTTGCTGAAGACTAGAATGCTATTGGATGGTATGGTCGGACAAGATCGGGACCATAGCCCAAAAGTGGTGGACCTCGCCAGTATCCACGAAATTCCGGGAAATATGCCTGGTGAGTTTGGCTGAGACAATTTCCTGTGTGCAATTCTTACCCATAAATCTGTAGCTCCAAAGGACTCAAAGAAGCAGACCGATCTAAACGGTCAAACGGGTGCCAATGGCAACATTCCGCCCCCTAAAACAGACAAGCCTCGGCCCCACGTCTGCACTACCTGCGGTCGCTCGTTCGCGCGATTGGAGCACCTCAAGCGCCATGAGCGCTCACACACAAAGGAAAAGCCATTCGAGTGTCCGGACTGCGCCCGGTGCTTCGCTCGGCGCGATCTGCTTCTGCGACACCAGCAGAAGCTACACATGACCACCACGCCGTCTTCTCGACCGAGAAACGGTCGCCGTGAAAGCACCGGCGCCGCACCCGGTGCTAACCGGGTTCGCAAGAACTCCATTGCCAATAGTTCAGCTTCTTCGATGCGCCCGAGGGCCAACACAATAGGCCATGTTGATGGGGCGGCCTCAGGTATCCCTGGTGCGGGTAACCCGTCATCTGCGCCCACTCAATCGGGTCACGCATACCACCCTAGCCTTAGTTCTTCAGTTGGCTCAAGCATCGATTATAGAGGATTTGGCTCTGGACACCCTTCGATGAACGGCCTTTCGAAGATCGAAACCTCCGGACTTCCTATGGATATGTCCGGAGGACTTCGGACCGCTCCCGTGTATGGGAGCTTTGACACGGGCATCGATGGCATGCTGATGGGCCACGGTAGCACCATCAACCCGGCGCAATTACACTTCGCAGGATCCCCGCAAGGCTTCAACGATTCGCCCTCGTCTCCTTTCGGTCACTACCACAATGGACTTCCACCCTCTGCGGATCCGATGATGGATGAAGAGATGCACTTTGACTGGATGAACGGGTTTGACACAGGTGTGGTTATGGGAAATGGCAACGACTCGGTTATTGACGAGTCCTCGCCATCGGCAATGAGCACGGGTAGCCAGAGCGGAATCAGCGAGGCCATGCTGGATGGCCCGAATCGCATTCCCATCTCCAACGGTTGGCACAACCCGTTCCCAGCTCACCACCCGGCCAACCAGTTCGCGATCGATTTTTCCCCGACGACGTTGAATGATCTGGGGATCCCCCCGGAGACAGTGTCGCCCAAGTCTTTAATGGCCCAGAATCCGTTTTCTGAGACGTATGCCACACCTCCATCTATGACTTCGGTCGGCCAGCCCATCATGGGAGGACATTCGCAGAGTATGTTTTCCTCTCTGGCAACAAACGGAGAATCTCCTAATCCTCTCAACGTTCCTTTCCCGAATAGTGCCCTACGAAATGAACATTCACCACTCTCAACGGATACATTTACAGACTCCACACGACAGGCTCTACTAGCGAGCATGTCGACCCCCACTGGCTTCAATCATCGCAAGTATTCCCAGCCCGCAAGTGGACTTCTAAACAGTCGCGAGTTGTTCGCCCGCTCGACTGGCTTCAACAGCTCCGGTCAATTGCCCAGCACCTCGGACTTGCAGCGCTACATCTCGGCCTACATTACCTACTTCCACCCTCACATCCCGTTTCTCCATATCCCCACCCTCAATTTCCAAGCTCCCCAATACACGAACAACCTACGCACGCCAAGCGGACACCTCAATTTAAGCTCGACCGGCGTCGCTGGAGGCGGAGGTTGTTTAATCCTCTCCATGGCGGCTATCGGTGCGCTGTACGAATACGAATCTGCCGCCTCCAAGGATCTCTTCGACGCCGCGAAAAAGATGATCCAGTTGTATCTCGAAGAGCGACGAAAGGCAGACATGTCTGCTGCTCTCAATTGTTCAAATTCCTCCCGCGATAGCTCCGTACACAACACTCCGCTTTGGCTGGTACAGGCAATGCTCTTGAACGTGATTTACGGCCACACCTGCGGTGACAAGACATCTGCAGACATTGCTAGCACACACTGTGCTGCCTTGGTCAGCCTCGCACGCGCAGCCGAATTAACACACCACCTGGATTCCAAGAACCTGCCGCAAGATCATCTCACCGCTGGTGACAACGGAAATGATTCTCCCGGTGAGTCGGAAAACTGGATGTCTTCGTCATTTAGTCAACCGAAAGAGCGCCGAGATTGGCTGAATTGGAAGGTTGTAGAGGAGCGGAAACGTACCCTCTACGCTATCTTTATTCTTTCCAGCTTTCTCGTCTCTGCCTACAACCATGCGCCTGCACTCACAAATTCGGAAATTCGCCTTGACCTTCCTTGTGAAGAGGATCTCTGGGCGGCCGAATCACCCCAGGCGTGGAAGCAAATGGGCGGTCAAACAGCCTCGAAGAAGACTTTGTCGTTTTCTGCTGCTTTGACGTCTCTTCTGACTGCCAGCCAACGAGAGCAGAGTCAATCGGCAAACCTGTTTTACAACTCCGACGATCTGTCCAATTCTGAAAACCGCCCTAGTACCTTCGGCTGTTTGGTACTCATCTACTCGCTTCACAACTATATATGGGAAACCCGCCAAAGGCACATGGGCCGACAATGGACTGCCCAGGAGACCGATGCTATGCAATCCCACATCGAGCCCGCTCTACGGGCATGGCAAGCGGCATGGGCTAGCAACCCTGTCCACAGCCTAGAGCGACCGAATCCGTTCGGGGCTGGACCTCTGTCCGCAGACAGCATCCCCCTTCTAGATTTGGCCTATGTTCGTTTATTCGTCAACCTAGGCCGATGCAAAGAGGCATTCTGGCAACGCGATTGGAATGGCATGGCGGATGAGCTCGCACGCGGCACTGAGATATTCCAGCACCCAGATGCTGCAGTAAACGACGTGGTCGATCCGTCTCTCACGGGCCACATTGACACAAGACGAGACTCCATCGCCGATCTGGGAGTATCAGATCTAGCCATCTCCAAGACACCGACACAAGACGAGCCCATGCAGACTCTCGCCAACATGTACAAGATCGGTCAATCTAAGCGTGAAAAGCACCTGCGCAAAGCAGCGTTCTACGCAGCGGATTCCATCTCTATGTCGGATCGTCTTGGTAACACCTTTGCTGAATTCTCATCGCGCGAATTGCCTATCCAGTGCGCGTTGTGTGCTTTCGATTGTGCCCAAGTGCTGGCGGAGTGGATCACCACTGTTCAAGAACGGGTGGGCCCCTACCTGGGTATCCTAGGCCGCGACGATGTCGACTTGACTGAAGTACCCGGAGTCATGCTTCTAGAAGACGAGGATTGCAAGCTGGTTGATAAGATTAAGGAGATCCTGGGGAGTATCGAGTTGAAAATGCAGCGCCAGTTCCAGAATGGCAATTCCATCTCGGCGCTCAGTGTCGTGCAGCGGCTACCCAGTCTTGTGGAAGGAGGATACGGATGTAAAATATTGATTGCAACTGCCAGTATCTTGGAACGAGCTGCTGTCTGGCCAGGTTAGTTTCAGCAATCCCCCAAACCTCCACAAACCAGAACAACTCTAACATCCACCCACAGTGACGAAACTGATGGCCCGCTCTCTGGAAGCCCAAGCCATGCGGATGAAGGAGCGTACCGAGCACTCCGTGATGATGACCCCTTAATGACCCTGCCCCCTTACTGCTTTGTTTGAATGTCCAATGTTTGATCCATATCTATTTCCCCCATATCTCCAACTCCTGCTTCCCATTTACGCGCGCCCGTGTATCATGAAGAAACAATCCAAGGCAACCCCATCCCATCGAAGCATGTGTATCTGCACCAAACCCGCACCCGTTCCCTCCTGCCCTCTTGCAACATGCGCACCGCCTTTGATACCCTGTTCTGAGATTTGATTATCTGTGCCATAGACAAATTGCCTGCTCATGTCATGTCATCTTTTCCCGCTTGCTAGCGTTCTTGTTTTGTTTCTATTCCCCCGACTACTGTCCTTGCTGTGGCGTGATGATTGGAGTGGATCGTGGCCTTGGTCTGGTTTCCTTGGTCTGGTTTCCTTTCATCTCGACTTGCTGATTTTAGTCGAGGGTGAGATCTCATTCTTTTTTTTTCTTTGCCTATGTGGTGTTTGATTATCCATAGTTTTACTTCGTGTGAATATGATTTACCCTTTAAAGTACTGTTGTTATAGTAGTATGTAGGTTGCTAGGTCGTCATCTATATATGCATATTACAGCAACTATAGCTGCCCCGTGGTGTCGTGATCGAAACTGCCGTACTTGTATGCAGTAGAATTTATTGCTTTTGGCAATTTAAGCGGTTTTTGGGGTGGTCTTTTTGGTAGTCTTTTTATATATATTCTCCCCGTTTTGAACTTTCCTAGATAGATCACTGATAAAGATGTAAAAGTACTTAAAATGTGTAGGCAATGTTCAATATATAAGTTCGTAGCACTCGCTCTACATCGTCCCTAGGGCTCTGCCCAGA